CAAAAGAGGGTGGGGGTATGGGTGGGTGTGGGTGAAGGTGTGGGTGTAACTATGAGGGTGTAGTATTTTACTGTCTCACATTTACACCCACAACCTCAAGATAGTCGCATGTGCGCGAAATTCTGCAGGTGCTCGCATCAGCGAGGCAAGTGTTCAAGATGTCCAGTTTATTTTTTGTCTTCAAATGAAGAAAAATTACATCTTCCTTTTTACATCGTTAATGTTTCTTTTCGTTCGTGTAGTACTCGCATGTTCCGGGGGAAGAGCATTTTTCTTTATTTGCAGTGCTTTTTCATAATATGAAAGTGCTTTCGAGTATTCGCCCATATTATAATATACCAGACCGATGTTGTTGTAGGAAGCACCCAAGTTCGGATGATTCGGAGGGAGAGCTATTTTCCAGACTTCAAGTGATCTTTCGTACGATGAAAGTGCTTTCGAGTACTCGCCCATATTATAATGCACCATACCGATGTTGTAGTAGGAAGAAGCCAAGTCGGGATGATTCGGAGGAAGAGCTATTTTCTTGATTTCAAGTGATCTTTTGTACGATGAAAATGCTTTCGAGTACTCGCCCATGTTATAATACACCAGACCGATGTTGTTGTAGGAAGCAGCCAAGTCGGGATGATACCGAGGGAGAGCTATTTTCCAGATTTCAAGTGATCTTTCGTACGATGAAAGTGCTTTCAAGTACTCGCCCATGTTATAATGTACCAGACCGATGTTGTAGTAGGAAGCAGCCAAGTCGCGATGATTCGGAGGGAGAATTATTGTATGGATTTCAATTGACTGTTCGTACGATGAGAGTGCTTTTGAGTACTCGCCCATGTTATAATAAACTGAGCCGATGTTGTTGTAGGATTGAGCCAAGTCAGGATGATTCGGAGGGAGAGCTATTTTCTTGATTTCAAGTGATCTTTCGTACGATGAGAGTGCTTTCGAGTACTCGCTCATGTTATGATACACCATACCGATGTTATGGTAGGACTTAGCTAAGTTTGGATGATTCGGGGAGAGAGCTTTCTGGATAATCCCATGATCTTTTTCGAGGTATGAAAGAGCTTTCGAGTACTCGCCCATGTTATAATATACTAGACCGATATTGTTGTAGAATTGAGCCAAATCGGGATGATTCGGAGGGAGAGCTATTTTTCTGATTTCAAGTGATCGTTCGTACATTGAAAGCGCTGTCGAGAACTCTCGCATGTTATGATACGCCATACCGATGTTGTAGTAGGAAGAAGCCAAATCAGGATGAGTGGGAGGGCGAATCTTTTCATGGATATGAAGTGCCTTTTCGTAAAATGTAAGTGCTTTTGAGTACTCTCCCATGCCGTCATATATCCATCCAAGTTGATGATTGTATACAGCTAGGTCTTCATCAGAAGATGCTTTTACTAGAAGCATCTGATAGAGTTGTTGCGCTTTTGTAGTCTCACCAAGCTTAATAAGTATAGAACCTAGTCGATTCCATCTTGTTCTGTTCTTGAACTCTTCTCGGACATGTCCAGTGAGTTTGTTAAACTCATCATCTTGATTACCGACGATGGTAAGATTAACTTGCCATAAGCGACCAGTATGTTTGTCTTCAATTTGTTCGATACAATCAATACGAAAAATCGTATGTGTAGAAAAGAGTATTTCTTCCTCTTCACTTTTGTAGAAACTAATTTGGCTTACTTCAGCAAATGGCGTTAATGACTTCCTGCAAATAGCTGTGTCAATGTTCATAACGAACAGAATGCCGACTGAATGGGGATTTTTTGTAGCCGGTCGGGCAAAGTTCTCAAGAGAAATCCTGCGATTGCGACTTGTTGACAAGAAGTTATTGAAGGACATCAGTCCTCCTTTGTTTTTTCTCATTTTTTCAAAGTCGTCAGTAGACAAACCTTGTCCACGAAAGGTTTGAAAATTGATTGGCATGTTGCCTTGCTGTTGACGATATAATTGTGCAATATGGTTATGTAAATGACGAATGAAGAAAGTCATCTTAAGGATAATGTCGATATCCATTTGTCGAAGACCATAATTGAGCATTGAGTAGATAAAATATGGACCCGTGTACCACCAAATCGGTGAATGATTACAATATTCTTCTACGATCTTTTTAAGTTGTTTTTTGGAAGCATCACTGTGATGACGACAGAATTCAACGAATTCTTTAATAGATTTTGCATCATCATCTTCTATATCCAAAAGTGCTTCTTTTAACAATTGTGTATACTTGAATAATGGGTCAATACCATTAAAACTGATAGAGATCATAGTTCGGTCACAATTCTTACTATCGATTTGTAATGCATCACAAATCGGTTCAATTTGTGTGTACACACCTTTTACCTTAGGCATTGTTTTGAACCATTCCTCAGGAATCGATTGATTGTGGCATAAAATATAAATGGATGTCAATTGTGAACACTCATGAATTTCTCCTATTATATGTTGTCCTATGGCATCTGACACAATCAAGAATACTTTTTCATTGTGAATGTCAGTGAGAAAATCAAAACATTCATCGACATCTGTAAATGTGGCAACTATTGCAAAAATATCACGTAGATGTTGCATGAATTTTTTATAATCATCTTTGGATTCATCGAAATCTGCATCAAGCCAGATCAAAAGAAAATTTTCAAGCATTCGACGAACGGGTTGTAGCTGTGTAGCATTTTTGCTCATTGCTGCTTTTACTTTCGTTGCTGATGATGCATCGCTAGCAGTTGGTTTCGAATTTTTCTTGTCCATGATAACAGCCATGACGATAGAGACAATAAATTTTTGTTGGTTTATCAATTTATATAAATAAATAAAAATGTAGATACTTGTTGCGCGCGGTACGAATCAGCAAAAATAAAAGACTCTTCGTCTGTCTCTAAATATATTTCGATTTTTTCTTCCTTTTAACGTTGACACTTTTGTTTTTGTTTGCCTGGTTGTTATGCATTTCAAGGAGTTCTTTTCTCGATTATTCGTTCTTTTATTTTAAAACTGCTGCTGGCTAAACGAAACGGGCAATAACTGTGCACCTAATTCAGATATAGGATAAGAAAGAACGAGAACGACACATGTAAAAAAGAATTGCATTATAGTCATAGATAAAAGAAGAGAAAAAAGAACTCCTAAATAAGATTTAAACATATTTTTGTTGTTTTCCTGCTGTTTTTTATTTTCGGTTGCGTTGAACTTCAGTTGAACAGGAAGATAGATGGCAATATCTTTTTAGTGAATCATGGCCTCCACAGTTGCCAACAGGATATGGGTATGAGTGGATATTTGTACATGGAAATAACCTTTACTGATAAACATACCCGCATTCATCCCAACCCAGTTAATGAAGGTTAGATAGTCGTGGATCTTCTCTTCATTTGCATGCACACATCGATTCTGAACATTTGGGAAGATATATACACATATGAAAACCAAACAAGACTTAAGGTACTAAAATAACAATGATCCTTATCTTTTGAAAAACGTGTAAACATAAAAAAGTGAATGGAACCTTCTTTTGAAAACGTCGTTTGAAACTTTAAGATAGTACAATCTCAAACAGAAAAGCATGTTGCATGAGTCGTAACCAACATGAGCTATAAGAATTTCGGTTGGTCAAACGCTATTACTTTATATAGCCTTGTTCTGTAGAGACGTAATTCAGCATCGTGTATCAATGAAAACAGCAGAGATTTCAACTGATACTCAAACGATGTTGAGGTTTTTCACCCGACCATTCATTCATTATCATTATCAAATAATGTGTAAAATTATAGCTATTTGTTTATTTGACTTTAAAATAAATGAATCGAATATCAATTAAACGAAATGGATAAACCAAGTAAATCATTCAAAGTTCAAAATTACTTCAACAACAACAACAACAACATCAGAGACATTAATTATCAAGTAAGTGATTCGATTGTTTGTATTTTTATCTATTATTAAAATATTTTTTTCATCTAGAGATAATAGTGAAAATTATTTTAAATTGGTTACAGTTAGGATGGAAACATAATTTACAACATGGGATGAAAATGATTACGATATACGATCAGTTCCCGACGTAAATCTTAATAAACTTTTAAAAGAACTTAAACGAAGCAAATCTAACAAGAATTCA